TCAGAGAACAAAGTCAGAGAGAAAAAAAGTTGGTCCACCCTTCTAAGATGTAGGTTCCAGTGTTCAAACTCAGGGAGCCAGGTTTGAAGGCCTGGGCCCTTACTCATCTGATGAGGAACCTCTTCTGGCTTCAGTGCTTGCACTTTAGCATTTGACCTTGACAGTTAATTGTTAAGTATTTCTGGGGAAGAAGAGGAGGCTGACTGGTCCTTATGCTCAGAAAACCCATGTTTCTGCTACTCATCCAAATGTCCCAGAAGCATTATCCACCCCCTGATTCACTGTGGTTTTTGCTGAGAGCCCAGGGATTGGTTTGCACAGAGGCCATGCTGGTCTCCAGCTGTCACGCACTGTGCACTTCCTGCAGTGTCATTCCACAAGAAACAAGCCCACCTGCTTGCCCCATTCTTTCCTTTTCATCATGATTTACTATGTGAGTGCACGTGATACACAAGATAGAATAGTTTGATTTATTTAAGCTAATTAAAGAGATTAATTGAAAGTACACACGTGTGTTCAGTCGATTATTTGTCACCAACTACTTTCTTTCCATGCACTGTCAAACTAATTCAGTGGCAATTTTCTCAGACAATGGTAACTTTTACTTAGAATATGGAATTCCAGCCATACGTACGGAACATACCCTTGATGAAATACTGTTACTGAAGGTCAGGAGAACCAGAGAGCTGGGTTTTCTGTTTCGCCTGAGCTGCTTGCTATGCTATCATAGTTTAGCCTCACATCCACTCTTCCACACTCCCCTTCTGTCATTCTCAGCCTGGGACTCCGAAAGCCACAGCTCTTTTCCAGCTGAAACACAGAGGTTCTGCCAACCAGGGCCCCTGAGAGGGAAGAGAAGGCTAGTGGAGAGGGAAGCGATGCTTTCCTTCTAGCCCATTTCTGTGTTGTTTTCTGTTCTTAGCTTGCTTGCTTGGCTTCATCAGTATGAGTGTAGGCTCTTCAAAGAGTACAAATGACTACAATTCTGCCTTTTTCTTCCATTCCTAAACTATCACCATGGTGCTCCCTCACAGAACCCAGCTATGGCCTCTGGTTCTGCCCCACCAAGGGCTTGTACTCCAAGCCCCTGTGGTATCTCTATGTCATGGCTGAGGCTGAAATGATTCAGCAACACTCAATTCCGCTGTGGGATGTTCTGTATGTCAAATATGTTGCTGATTGGTCAATAAATAAAACACTGATTGGCCATTGGCTAGGCAGGAAGTGTAGGCGGGACAAGGAGGAGAATAAAGCTGGGAAGTGGAAGGCTGAGTCAGAGAGACACTGCCAGCTGCCATGATGAGAAACAGCATGTGAAGTTGCCGGTAAGCCACGAGCCACGTGGCAAGGTATAGATTAATGGAAATGGATTAATTTAAGCTGTAAGAACAGTTAGCAAGAAGCCTGCCACAGCCATACAGTTTGTAACCAATATAAGTCTCTGTTTACTTGGTCGGGTCTGAGCGGCTGTGGAACTGGCAGGTGAGAGAGATTTGTCCTGACTGTGGGCCAGGCAGGAAAACTCTAGCTACACAATTCTCTGAGGTTTGAACCTTGGCTATTTGAGCACCCCATCTATGTTACCAGCTTTTAAGAAGCCCAGTCTCTTCCCTTTTAGCCCCTAGTTCTGCAGGTAATTAGTAAAAATTTTGTGTTTGCTTTTTCAGGTTTCTGGGTCCTGAATGCCAATTGTTTGTATTAATTTTCTCCTGCTATGACACTTTCTGTGGTTTCTACTCCAAACTGGATGCTGAATAATATGAAATAAAAGAATAATTCTTCTCAATAATAGCTATCTTTGAGTGGCCCTTGGTATCCTGTCAAAATGATGCCACTAATTTTGTTAGGGCCCTAGAGAAGTCCCACAAAAGACCACCATCCACATATGCAATCGGCAAGAGTATGTATTATCTGGAGAGTAAGAGTTCCAGCATGCTGGGGGCCGCACATCTGACACAAAGGCAAAATGGTGACCCCAAAAGAAGCCCTCAGGCTCCTTTTATACACAGCTAAAGGAATTCTATGGCAGTTAGGTCATTCTTTCTCTGATTGGCTTATGTGAGTGGCAATCATATTTGTATGTTTCTGATTGGTTAGGGCTAGCAGGCATTGGCCAAGGCTATAGTTTTTCCATTTTGGGGCAAGTCTGGACAAGTCTGGACAAGCCCCAGGCTCTGTCCTTATTTGGTTATTGGCTTGAGATGGGGGGGGCTGGCTCAGGCCTGGTACATGCAATTTGCTCATCCTTGCTATTGGGAGCATTGGTGACTGATTGCCCTTTGTTCATGGCTTCCTTAGAAACTGTCTGTTCAATTTCAAGAGGCAGGAATTGACGTCTACTCCTTAACTGAGTTATTAGTAGCCTGTCATGGTATTTACTTGCCTGGCCTTCTCAAATTTTACTGTGTGTAAAAATTATAATTATTTTTTTATTTTACTAAAATGTTTAAAATATGATAAAAGAAAAATGAGTATAAACTTTCCTTCTGTCTCTCAATTTCAACGTAGTTAGTTCTTTGGCAGTAAATAAAAATATTCCCATGAGACTTCCCCCCAAACATGTGTTTTGGTAGCAGCAACGCATGAGAATCCTCATTAAAATCTTCAGAAGTCTTTCCTGTCTGATGGACTAATTAATCATATGATACTTTTCTATCCAGGTCTACAAAACTGCCTACTAATGTCAAACAATGGATGCTACCAACCAGATTTGAATTGTGTATTTATGTTAAATCAATCTGAATTATATTCAATTAAAAGTATATAGCAAAAGAGAACAAATGAAATGATAGGACATTTGTTGGGCTCATGTTTAACTTTTGTAGGAAACTGAAGAATGATACTGATGGTCAATAGTCAGCAAGATGGAAAGCATGGAAGCAGAAGGCAGTTCTGCAGGACTCTGAGCACCGCTATCCTGCTGCCCCCAGTGACTAAATGTTAAATTAAAATATGTCCTCTCTGTGACACAGCTACAACCACCACTTTAGTAAAACAAGCTCCAGCTGAACTGACAAGACAACATACAAAGAACCTTTGCTTTTTTTCCATTGTGCATTTTCCAGGAAATACCGGATTGATACCTATTTTTAAGTCAAGACCAAAAGTCTGGCTTTTATCACTATTGTCTCACTCAGAACTGACCATCATAGGAAGATAGGTAAGAAGGCACTTCTCCTTAGCGTAATCACAAAGTTACCTAAAGAAACTTAAGCATTATTGCCTATATTCCAAATGTACCAAGAAATGATTAGAAGCTGGATCTAAAAGAATCACCTCCAGTCGGCCAAAACAATGACCTTACCTCCCTGGTGGAGTAGCTGGCCATTCTCTGTAGGTGTGCTAAATAGTTAGGATGGCATCAGTGCAATCTAGTTACAACAATGGCTTGTGGGCTGAGCATGTAAAAATAAACATTTGTATGTTGCATATAAACAGTGACATATCCCAAGAGGGGACTGAAGAACTCTACCCTTTCATGTATACCCAGATTTTCCCTTTCTAACCATGAGCTGTTTTTGTTACCGTCCAGACCAAATCAAGAAACAATGTTTTAGTGGAAGAGTCATTTCTTCAATGTCCTAAAAGAAATACCCAAAAAGGCTATCTTTCTAAAAATTATTCTTTGAAAGTTTACCTCAAGTTCCTCAAGAGAAAGACATTATGACACATTTTTAGTCATGGCTTTGTTGTTGTTTAGCACCATCTTCTAGTAAGAACTGAAGGTAAGACTCTAGTTGTGCATGGTGGGACATACCTTTGATCCCAGCACATGAGAGGTAAAGGAGGATGGATCACTGAGTTTGCCACTAGCCCGATCAACATAAGTTCTAGGGCAGCCTGGGCTACACAGCAAGATCCTGTCCCAAACACACACACACACACACACACACACACACACACACACACACACACACACACACACACACACAGAGAGAGATTCTCTGCAATACGAATGTACTGAACTAAGTTAATTTGGGAAGAATGACTAGCCCACCTAAGAATCTAATAGATCTTACAGTTTGACTAGTAAACTTGAATTTTACTTTATTTTCTCACTGAGTTAGAAGGCAAATCAATTTTTCTAATTGTTGAAACTTGTTACTAATCTTTTCAATCCTCTAATGATTTTATTTAGTAGACTAAAAGCATTTAGTGAAAGAATCTCAAGTATTTGGTTTATTTTTTTTTCCTCTGATGTTCTTGCTATGTTTTAGAGCCATTTGGGGTGATATTCTACAGATACACTTCATAGGGGTCTAACAGTGTCTAACCAAGAGCTCTTTACCTATGTCCTTGGGTTTTCTTTGGTCTCTGTCCAACTTTTAGTTTCTTGTTTAATTGGTCATAGAAATAAAAAGAGACCTTGCAAACTGCTTTAGTGTTTGCCTTGTTTATTTTTTTACTGTAGAGATAAATGCTCACCTGGTAGTCACACAGCGAACTATATAAATTGAAGAAATGAGTCAACACCTCAAATACAATACACAAACATGAATATGACCTTGGTTTTGACCTCAGTGAAGCTTAGAGCATCATCTCAGCTTCAGGGAAGAAAACTGGGGCTAAAGAAATATATGGATCACAGGCTGGATAAACAAAGAATTTAAGACAAAATGTGTTTCCTGACAGTTAATCCCATCAAAACACTGTCTCTCATCAACATATAAATATGTAAATTAAATATTAAAATTAAAATTCAAATATGAGCACAAGAGTCAAAGAGGAGTCAAAAAATATATTCAATCATTTATCATGGTGTGTATGTGTGTGTGTGTGTGTGTGTGTGCGCGTGTTGATAGTTGGTAACATGAGAGAAACAAGCAGTTACTCATTGGGAAAAGATGTATCAAGTGAGTAAGGGGGAAAAGATTGAAATCACACACAGGGAGGGGAATCCAGTTTGCAGGCAATTCAGCCAATCCAATTTTAACATTGTTTACATAAAAAAATATCCACATTAGACTTGAGTTCAAGCATTCCCTGCTGCTGGTACTCACCACTATTGCTTACAGCCCACTCCATTGCTTGGACGCCCCTTTTCCCTTGTTGGAGTCCATCCTCTTGTAATTCTCTCTGCAAGAATCTGTAAAAGGAAGAATCCATTAGTATTTGTCCAAACTTCGTAAATTTTATCTTTACTCTTAAATGATTATTTGCTGTGGTACAGAGACATGGGTTGAGTTCTTATTTTTCAGAATTTATGAACATATCCTATTACCTTCTAATATGCATATTCACTGTAGAAAACCTATAGCCCACTTAATTGTCACATTCTAGGGAATCTTTAGAATGAATCTCCATTAAATTATCTACCTTTAACCAACAGTCACTCTACACACAATTCTGAATTCTTCTCTTGCACAAAGAGATGTGGCTAAGCGTGAGAGTGAGGACTAAAAGTTGGGCCACTGACCACTCAGCCAACTTGTGGAATTAAAGGACAATTGTCAGAGAGTATTGTTTTCAATTTTATACGAAAGTGCTAGACAAAGGAGAGAAGGCACTGTGTGTGTTCAGCGTTCAGTTTTTCTTATTTCTCCTTTTCACCATCTGGATCACCGTCTGGTTCAAATCAGCTGAGCACCCACAATTGTCAGCAATTACAGAGCCCCATGCTAACATCCATGATCTTCAGCAACATCCCAACCCAAATGTCAACACACATGCATTCTTCTCTCTAGGACCAAAGATGAAAAAAGCAAGAGCTGTGGTCTTTATATTTCAAAAACTTAAAGTCCAAATTTAAAATTATTTTTTCTAATGTTGATCTGATGAGAAAGATTAAAACACATATACTGGTTGAAGAAAATTTCTCACTAACTTAAAAATATTTTAAAACCATAAAGAATCTCTTTTGAGTTCATCAGACTATATGCAACATATTTTAATAAAGCATGTGAGCTTATATTAGATTTCGGGGGGGGGGTATAAGGAAGGCCTGTCCCAAGGATAGTTTGGATAGCAAACCAGAAAAATGCTATAAGTTTTAGGTGGTAGAGACCTAGAAATTACATATTTTCTAATGCTATTGTGAGTATTAAGAATTCTTGGTTGAGGAAGGCAGATTCTAAGGACAATTTCACATGTTCTAATAGAAGGCTGCAAAAAGTGCTTCTGAGAATATTTATAAAGCTAGGCCCCACATGTGACTTTCAGTTGATGATGAGGAAAACATATCAATTCTTATAATCTTGTCTCTTTATAGAGGCAAGGGTTCTGGAGGTAAGGGACACAGAAATACACTGTGAAAATGTTTAATGTGCAGAGGAATGATTCCCTGTGACAGGAGGCTTGACTTAGTGTCTTGGGTTTGCAACTGACTCCCAGATTTCACTGTAGCAATGAGACTGGACTGATCTGCAAAGCATGGAAGGAAGCATGGTCTCCCCGCCTTAGTCAAGTATATTCACCCATAACCATGCTGAGAGTTCTGTTACTGTGCATAAAGAATTGTTTCATAGAAGAGAAAAGTAACTCTACCTTAACATTCTGTATTTGGTAATCAATTTCTTTCTCCCAAGTGAGTATAATGTTCATTTTCTACTTCAAAATCACCTTTAAAAATTTTGGACTTACTCATGGTGATACTGAAGGTAAAAAGGGACTATCTTGAGTCTCAGTTCCTGGTTACAGATGACAAACATATACTCCAATAGAAAGAAAAGTCTTAAGCTACCTCCCTGCCTTTCTATCTTGTTGAAGCAAGTCTTGTTGAAGATGGAATTACTTCTTTACCTCTATCCCAGTGACACTCTTGGTAGAGTAAAGCCTTTATTTCAGTCATGCAGCACACTCCTCTCCGAGCCCCAGTTCTTGGTTATGTGGCAATGATAAGTAAATGCTCCTCTGATCTTGGTTCCAAATGAGTAATGTGTACTGTATTATACACTTGGAACCAAATCCGCCATCTGTTTCTTTTTACCAAAACCATGTGGCTGTAACATGAAAGGCAGCTGTTTGCCGGCATTGCGGAATTACTCTTTTTGATTAACACTGAGGATGCTTTGAAAATTTTCCCTCAGAGAAAGTCTGTATTGTTCTTTGTTGTTTTGTTTGTTTGTTTTTGAGGTATTGGAGAATTGAAAACTACTCAGGTTGGAGTGTCACGATATCCAAGTTATATATGCTGACTCTTGTGCCATTAATCCATTCTCGTTATCTCAGTCTCTTAGAGCAGTCATCTCAGCATGTGGCAGAGCTAGAAAGAGCATAGTGGTGGGCCGAGGAGGAAGCTATGGGGGTTGAGAGCATCCTCCCTCTCTTCTCCAGTCACCAGAACTATCTGTCCCTTACCTCCACCAACTTCCTTTTTTTCTGCTGTCAACTTCCTGCACCAATCTCACTTGAAATTCCTAAGCTTCTCTGATGGGTTTACCTAATACCAAGAACACAAAATCTTTCCAGTTAGAGCAGAATCTAGCTTCGTTACCAGGTTATCATTATTTGTTTGTTTTAAAAAATGATATTATCTGAAGCAGGGTGGTTCACAAGGCAAATACATCAACTACTTTTACAAATGAAACTTGAGGGGGACATAACCACATTCATCCTTTATCCTGGGTGTCTGTGGTTACATTCCTGCTGTAATGGCTGATTTGAGTAGCTGCAAAAGACACTGCATGTCATGCAAAACTTAAAGTGTTTAGTAATTATCCTTTTTAGGATGTGTTTATTAGACTGCAGTCAATGCTCCTTACACTATATGTTTGGAGCTTTCTTTCTTTTATTTTCTGTGTGACCTTTCCACTGTTCTGCTTTCTCGTCTGTAAATTGAGGATAGAAATAGAACTGGACTCAGGGAGTTCTTGTAAGGATGACGTGAGGAAATGCAATTGAAGCACTTAGCATTGAGTCTGGGCAGACACTCAATAGACAGCGATGTTAGAGCATGACATCTTATTTGACGCTGGTGGCATTAACTCTAATGACGCAGCTCAGGATAGAGGACATGTGGAGCTCAATTCATATGTGTCGCTACTTGTGGTATTTTAAGCAAGTTATTCTTCTCTGATTTTTCTCTCCATAATGGGAATAATGAAAACTATTGTAGAGACCAAAAAAATTGTTAAGGTGTTTATGAAGACCACCAACAAGAAAACATGGAAAATACCAAGTTCAAGATCAGAGCAGCAGCTTCCCAATTTCTAGAGGTAAAAAGAAATAAAACTTTTTTGATATTTTAAAGTAAAGGGATTTTTAAAACAGAATTGTGTACTTAGGAAAATAATCAGCTAAATGTGAGATTAAATAATGACCTTTGGGGAATGAAAATGACTAAATTACAAAATACCACAAAACCTTCCATAAATGGTCAACCTTTCTTGGCATGTGCTGAATAAGAAAACTGGAAGTAAACCATGACCAGGAGAGCATTATGGTATCTGGGGGGATTCTGAGAGGTGAATTTCGGGGTGGGGTGTTCACTCATCTGGGATTCCCTCATTAAATCAAGAACCAATGGGATAAATTTAACAAAAATGTAAAGACAACTTCTACAACAAGTCTTGGTAAGAAATTTGATTAACCAAGGGAAAAGTCCATCGATTTCAGGATATTTTCAAAGGAGATCTAAAACCAATCAAAATTGTTTTCAAAGCAAGTGCACAGTAAGACAAGAAGCCAGTGGGATTCAAGAGAATAGTGACACTTAGGGAGCAAGAGAGGTAGAGAAAATAGTGAAGCAGATACAGCAGGAAGCCAAACTGGCAATGATCCCCAGAACAGGGAAGTGTTAAACAGCATGGACAGGAACTCTATAGCAAGTGGAGATAAGGTCCCAAAAGGTAAGGATGACAGAGGTCTTAGAGTGGCTTAGGCAAGAGTAGGCACTGAGAAGCAAAGAGACTGGCAATGATTATGAGAGACCATGAAAAGATGTTGAGAGATCATGTACATCCTCTTGCGTGTGAAAAGCCAATAAAGAAAGCAACATTCCATCCCGACAGACCTGTACTAGGAAGAGCACTCAGAGTCAGGCATTGTGCTGAGAGTTGATACTGAACACTTGTGAACATACGGGGGTATTTTCCTTTGTGGGAGTTTGAGTCTGGCTTCCAACAAGATGACCTGGGAGCTTAGAAAGGGTTATGATAGTTGAACTTCCCTCCTAAGAGATGATTCCATTGGCTAAAGGAGGCTCTGAAGATCAGGTTTTATTGTGGTTGTTGTTTGTCTGAATTTATTTTTTATTTAACATTCAACATAGCAGGGATCTCTATTCTCACACATCTCCATCCACTTGCTCCCATTCCCATCTTGTAGCATTTGAAGAAGTTCAGTTTCTAAAAGCATCTCACGCCATTCAGATGCACAGCCAAAGCCAAAGCCACTGCTATAGAAAAATGGGTGGGTTGGTCCATATTTCTACCATCTTAGTACATCTAGGAAAGAACAGAAGATGTTGGCACTGGCAATGAAGGTAGTTGAAATTTAAGAATATTAATAAACAATAGCTTCTATTCACTCTGTGAAATAAAAGCTCAAATCATCACTAAGAATAAATGGAAGGTGGTTTAAGTAAAGGTCCAGAGTCTTGACTGACTAGCACAGTGCTACAAGCTGGAGTGGACATTGATATATTATCAATCAACTTAGATGACTCAGATGATGTTGGGAACCTAGAAATTGTAGCAGCACTGATTTGGGTGTACTTTTGGTTTTGTTGGCACATAAGAGAAACGTATAGATTTTATCTGACCCAGAAAATTGTGGATTTGTTCCTTTCTGTGACCTAATCCTGGAGTCTATGTTATGATATTAGTAATACCAACCTGCACAGATCCATTCAGCAGCATAAAAGACGTAGAACCCAGCCTCCTGGCTTCCCATTGTGAGATGAAGTTATGGTTTGTACTTCCTACAGGGCAGACTCTTCTGGGCTTTTCGTAGATTTAAGTCACTTGTGATTGAGATGGGCTTTTAGTTCACTGAATTTGCTATCACTTTGAGTCTCTGTGATAAACATCCCCATTTTGCTCCCATGTACCTTGTATTCTGTAAAGGGCTGGGGCTAGGTCCAATTTAGCAGATTGGGTATAGTGGGGAGATGAAGATCATTTTTTTAAAAAGAGCCTAACATTGTCT